AACCAGTTAATTTTAGCAATTGTTACTATATATAATAATTTAGTCATATTTTTATTTTCATTTTTATTTCTAAATTACTATATAACAAAACCACATGTATATAGATTCCTTTATTTTACAAATTAAAATTAAAAAAAAAAAACATTGTCATTAACATTTATTTTCCCAATCAAGACAAAACCTCAGCTAATGAAACTACTATACAATTTCACAAAAATTTTAAATATATTTAATTAATCAAAAATAAAAATAAAAAACTTTATTAAAAACTTTAAAACAAACAACATGATTAAGATGAAATAATAAACTATAAATCGGGGAATAATCCTTCCCAATTCGAGTCTAAACCTCCAGTGCGATGCCTCAACCTCTCAATTACCACCAAAAGTCCCCTAGGGACACATTTTGACTTGTTTGGTGAAGCCCAAGATGAACATGATAATCCTTTTTCTTCGGGACACAAATTTTCAATGAAAAGGTATTTAATTTTTTTTTTTCGCATTTTTGTTCTTTCGAAAGTCACCATCGAGATTTCTATCTATTTTTCTATTCATAGTAGAGTATCATGGTGAGTTGAGGTTAGATTAATAGAGGAATAATATACGGTTGAATTGTGTACTTTCCATTGAGTACAGTATTTATATAATAGTTTATCAGATAGCAAATTATACAATAACTAAACTTTATGAAAGTGTAAGAAAATTAAAAATTTTGTTAAATAAACTTAATTTATCAAAAATAAACCCAAAAATGCATTTAATAAGTGTATTTCAACATAATATCTTTGATAAAGAAGGTAATATGAAGATGAATAAGATATGACAATGATAAATTTAAAATGATGTGTCATTTTAAAATTGTAATCATTATGTGTTATTATATAAATAATTCTTTTTATTTAGTGTTTTATGAGTAATATTATATACTTTTTCTCATTTAATTTGAAAACTTATAATTCTATATATATGGTATTGTAACTATATTATTGTCGCATATATAAGATAATCCTTGTTCTTTTCTATAAACAAAATGATAAGCCTTATACCTCCTAAAAAGAACTACTTGTTGTGCAGGTTGTGTTTTCAAACTTAGAAGAATCGCAATTGTTCTCAATTATGGTTGATAATATCATATGGTACAATTTGATGACATTTGATCTCAAGAACCTGACAGAGTTGATCATTCATGGTTGTGACAATTTGGAATACCTATTCATATCTTCTATGGTAATAGATTTGTTGAAGCTTAGACACCTGCATGTAAAGAAATGCCAAAGGATGAGCGAGATTATTGTGGCTAATGATGATGTAGAAAATCGAATGTTGATTTTTCCTCAATTGACTTTTTTGGTGATAGAAGACCTTCAAAACCTTGTCAGCTTTTACGGAGGAAATTATACTGTGAAATTCTCATCCTTAAAACAACTACGAATATTGAACTGCATAAAATTTAGGAAATTCATTACATTTTTTGGAGATTCAAATTTCACAGGCAACACACCGTCATTCTTCATGGAAAAGGTAATTATTTCCTCAATTCAATTGCATTTTACCTTTAATTTTAGGAGCTATAATTGTTCTAATCCTTTTGCCCTTATTGTCATGATGTATAGGCTATTTTCCCCAACTTTACTAGCACCACTTAAAAAAATTCAGAACCAGTTAATTTTAGCAATTGTTACTATATTTATAATAATTTAGTCATATTTTTATATTTATTTCTATTTCTAAATTACTATATAACAAAACCACGAGTATAGATTCCTTTATTTTGCAAATTAAAAAAAAAAAAAAACATTTTCATTAACATTTATTTTCTCAATCAAGATAGAGCTAATGAAATTACTATACAATTTCACAAGAAAAAAATATATTTAATTAATCAAAAATAAAAATAAAAAACTTTATTAAAAACTTTAAAACAAACAACATAATTAAAATAAAATAATAGACTATAAATCAGGAAATAACCCTCCCCGATTCGAGTCTAAACCTCCGGTGTGATGCTTCAACCTCTTAATTACCACCAAAAGTTTCCGAAAGACACATTTTGACTTGTATGGTGAAACCCAAGATGTACATGATAATCCTTTTTCTTATTTATAGACAAAATGATAAATTTTTGTAATGAAAAGAACTATATCCTGTGCAGGTTGTGTTTTCATCAAACCTAGAGGAGTTGCAATTGTGCTCGATTGAGCGTATTAGCACCATATGGCACACTTCGATGATATCTTGTTTTGAGAAACTGAAGATATTAATTATTCATGACTGCAAAGATCTGGAATACCTATTCTCATCTTCGGTTGAATCGGATTCAGAAGGGATGATCCAACCTCTCCTTCCAAAACTAAAGAGGTTAGAATTGGGAGATTTGCCCCGGTTGAAGAGCATCTGTAGGGAGAGGGCAGCAATGGTATGTAATTCTCTTGAATCGATTGTAATTTGGAATTGCTATAGCCTAAGAAGGTTCCCTCTTTATCTTCCCCAACTTGAAAATGGACAACCATCTCCTCCTCCTTCCCTCAAACAAATCGTAGTATGGCCACATGAATGCTGGAAATCTTTAGAGTGGGACCATCCTAATGCAGAGCGTGTCCTTCTAGAATTCTGTGGAAGATATCATTCGTTTCCTTTCAAATTAGTAGAAGGGCGCATTAAAAGGTTAGAGTTCACCGATATTGATGTAGAGATTACTTGGCTGCCACCATCCGTACAAGAATTAGTTCTTAATCGATGCAACTACTTAAGAAGCTTAAATGATATCTCTTCCACTAAAGATGCAGAAGAATTGGAGTGCTGCAGGATTTGGAACTGCAATGGCGTGAAGTGTTTTCTTTCCTCGTCCATAAATCTACTGGCCCAAAAGCTTGAGGTTCTGGATCTTTTTAGTTTGGAAAACTTGGAAGCCCTTTTTGAAGCAGAGGCAATTACCAAGTCACCACTACCACCTGACACTTTTTCATCTCTTAAAACCATAGGTGTTTGGCACTGTCATAAAATAAAGACGTTGTTCCCCTTTTGGATGAATCTCCAGAGTCTAGAAGAAATTAACATTGGATTTTGCAATCAGATGGAAGAAATAATAGTATGGGATGCAGAAGAAGCAGGAGGAGAAAAAGAAGGGGTCATCCAACTCATTCTTCCAAAATTAAAAATTTTAGATTTGAAAGAATTGCCCGCATTGAAGAGCATCTGTAGCAGGAGGGCACTAATGGTATGTGATTCTCTAAAAAAGATTCGGATCTGGAATTGCGAGGGCCTAAGGAGGATCCCTCTTTATCTTCCTCTGCTTGATAACGGACGACCATCTCGTCCTCCTTCCCTCGAAGAAATCGTATTATGGCCACAAGAATGGGGGGAATCGTGGTGGGAATCGTTGGAGTGGGACCATCCCAATGCAAAGGATGTCCTTCTTCCGTTCCTTAATTTCACTCCGCGGTGGCACTAATTTTCTTTAATCAAGGAAGAGGAAGAAGAAATCACCTATTGTCACTCTGCAACAGTCATCTTCACCATGGCTCCCCTAATCGTTGTGGAAAAGGTTCATCTTCTCTTTGGTCTAGTATTATTTCTAGACTAGAAATTGTTAATTCATGAACCGCAAAATGAGATAGAAAGGAACATGGACGAAATAAGGATTAATTAACTGACTTCTTTTGTTGAATCAGGAAGCTGAGATATCCACCTCTATCTCTTCAGGGGCGTCAAGGAATTTGGATACTTCTCAAAAGAGGAGCCCCGCAATTCTTTATTTGCAGTGCATTGTGAGTTGTATCAATTTCTGTAACTGGTAAGAGTCCCCGCTGCCAATCTTTTGTTTTCGGTTTTCAATCGTTAATGTTTTGAATCAGTCCAATTGATAATTGCACAACTTCCTCAAGGTTTTGCTATTAAAGATGCCATGGATCTGAATTGCAAAAATATCAAAATTATTTATTTATCTTTTAGCTGAATCTTGGAATCCCAGTTGCTGTTAAAATTGGTCTATTTAGTTAGGTCTTTTGGTCCTGGGATTTTTTTGAACTCAATTGTATTGGCATTTTGTGTGTTGGATTTGGTATTAGGATGCAATTCCAATGGAAGTTTGGGTTTCTTGTAAATGTCAGGTTAGTAATACTATGTATAGGAGTTTTGGGGTGAAATGCAGTTGATTAATCAAATAACTAGTATCGTTGTTAGTGAAAATAAAATAAAAGAGAAAGGGGGAAAAACTAAAAACACAGTATCATATATGGCATAAAAAGTAACTTAGCAACGCTTAGGGTGGATGGTGTTTTGTCTGTCTAATCATGACAACCTCTGGTATAAGTTCTGGTATGGTGGGGATAGGAGATGATAAATTTCCCCCTTTAGGTGTTTGTGGTTGCAGAACACCATTGTCTTTTTTGTTAA